CCTGACTGAATTCCTCTTCCTCACTTTTTGCGTTTCGTCAACTCATGCAATTGAACAATAAAATCAGTTTCTTTCTGATGGACGATATTACAAACACCAGCCGTTGGCACCCCATCTAGATTTGATTATACAATGAGTCCAAACTATATTTTTTTACTAATGACTAGCAATTCAATGAACACAGGCATGTAGCTTTCATGAATTCTAGAGTAATAATTTTGAATCAGGTTGACCCTGAGTTCAACAATACGCACCAAGACATCTACAGAAAGTTTCAAGCTCAAAAGCAAAGGATCTCCTTCTGGGCCCGCAATATCATTAAGTAAAACATCTGGAAAAACATGTGACCCAATTAAGTACCTGAAAAAAATTGAAGAAAACTTGGATAAGATTAGAGAAAATATTAAATAGATGCTAAAACTCTAGTTTGGAAAAAATATATTTATAATAGTAAATAGTAAATCTTTAGTTGAATTACATCAACACGTGTAATAATAATAGTCATCATATGTCAGACCCAACTCCCACCATTTGAAACCAAATACATAACCCTATCAAATATGAAAGTTGGTAGGGCAATAGGGCTTGTAAGAACATATCCTTACCAAAATGCAAATGTTGCTGCTGATAGAGTCATAACACTGTATACAAACGGGCCAGCTATTGAATCTGCAAGCCTTTGTACAGGTGCTTCACGTGATTGAGCATCCTCAACCTGAACATTGCAAAAAAGAGATGCAACAAAGTGCAAAAGCTTTTTCTACAAATATACGATTTTTACATATCTTAAGTCAACAGAACCTAACCTAAACATTTCAACAAACAAATAATTTCATTTCACAAAAAGTAAGAAGCTTCAATTGATGAATTAAATAAGAGTGCCTAACAACAATTATGGATGAACGAAACTACATTATTACCAAAATTGAAAAATCTAATCGCTTCATTCATTATAAAGTTTTTCAACAATAAGTAATTATAATATGATATACTAACCATGCGGACAATTTTGGATATCATTGTGTTGGAGCCGGTTGAAGAAGCTTCAATCCTTAAAGGGCCATCCTGAAATAGGAATATTAATACATGGTCATCCAATCAAATTCGATAAAAGAAAAAGAAAATCAACATGATGGAGTGGCCGCATAATTTTAATCTAGTTAGATAGAGGATAAAACCTTGTACTGAATTTAAGTCTAAGAGCATACCCAATTTATAGTTCCCGCTGAAACTGTGAAGCCTTCTTCTTTATACATAGGAAGTGATTCTCCTGTAAGCATGGATTCATCCACTACACTTCTTCCAGAAATGACTCTTCCCTGTCCAGAGACAATTAATATTAGCAAGTTGGTACCAAATGAATCAACATGTTTCAAAAATATTCCATCATAAATCAGAAAGTAAGGTCTTCCAGCTTCATGCATATAAATGCCGCTTTGTTAAACACTTGCTATTATTTCTCGCCAATTATTGTCACCGTTTCATAAGTGAGACATAGGGTCTTAGTTGATTAAGCATCTGCTTTGTCAATCCCAATGCCTTGACTTAGATACTGCACATGTATGGCTTTAGAGTCCTAACAAAATTTCATTAACAACAAGAAGGTTTACATCTATAGGAATAGTTTCTCCAGGCAACACCAACACTGAATCACCAACTCGAATATTGTCAGTTGGGACTTCAACACAGATCGCATCAGAGCAAAGCACACTGGCTGCAGATGGAGCACTTTCTGAGGAAGTAATCACAAGTCTTGATTGAGTTGAAACCAGTGACTAGCAAAACATCCACCATAATAAAATAGTGTTAGACTGTATAATCAAATTCCAAAGTAAAATATAAATCTTCCCAAAACTTTCATGCTTGAACTACTTGAACTAAACCTTGTTATTTATTTGTTACCCATAATTCAATCAAAAAACTGCAAATATCATGCTTAGTTCTCAAATAGAACACATTTTTTTGTCCAATCAAATTTCGAGTACTTGGATTGTCCATGTTTAAGAGGGAAAATGACAAGAACTGAAAGGAGATTAAAAATGAAACTACTTTTATGTTCTATCCGTTTAAAATTATACAATTGAAAACCATTACTGACCCATTCACAGGTTAGCCTCATCATAAGTTCATAACGCACAACCATGCACCCTTTAAAATCAAAGAAATTAGTTCTGAGGTAGGACGCTTAACTATGACACAAGAGAAATGAGTATTTACCTGCTGCATCAACAAACTATTATTAAAAAAGGGAATATGAAATGTGGAGTGATCCTTTTAGCAAGACGAGATTAATTAATGACTACACACTAATTAAAAAACATATTCAAAAAAGATTTTTATTTAAAGCCAGGCATGACGTTTAGGCAAAAAGACCTCTCATGACTTTCTAATAAATAAGCCAACCCAATTAGAGGAGAAATTTTATTAGCGCTCCCACATAACACATTTGTTTAACAAAAGTCAAATGATGCAACACAAGGATAGAGAAAACTTCCCTAACCTAGTGTCTTGTAACTTCAAGGAAAGATAATGAAAATGGCATGTGTGTGTGTGTGTAAGCAATTCATAAGTCTCATGCTTGACATAGAACTTGCCGATGCCTTCTGCCAAATAAAATAAGTATATAAGGAGGAGGAAGACTACTTACGAGAAGTTCATTCATATCACTAGATGCCTGAATCCTCGCCTTTTCTTCCAAGGAACGTCCTAGAAGTACAAAACCAAGAAGCATGACCTGCATACTAAAAAACAAAATCCTCCATGAGGAGCTAGCAGCACAAAGAAAAAGTTAAAACACCAGAAATGGCAATTGACAAGTGAGAAATTACTAAATCAACAAAAACTAAACTCAAGCCAGGATGCATAGCTCATTCAAACTTGGCTTGTGGGAAAAAAGTAAAGAAAATCACCGGCTCATCAAAGAATGATGCATCCCATGCCAGCCCAGGACTAAGTAGTGAGATCTACAGGAAAGATGAAATTCAAATTTACATCACTTGCGATAAAAAAAAAAAGGAAATGATGCCAATGCCATTTTGTAACTCAATGAAACACTTGAAACTTTGACAGGGGCTCACCGAACTGATAATGAAGGCAGCAATAGAACCGAATCCCACAAGAGAGTTCATATTCGGTGATCCCTTCGTAAATGCCCGTAGGCCATCGACCAGTAATTCTGAAACAATGGCTAGTTCAGTCACAAAATTTCCATCTCGAGATTCACTTCGAATTATTTGGGACACCACAAGCCCCAAGAACAAACAGGATTACAAAGTAAAACAAAATATTCTGCAAATCTACATAAGCGTCGTTAATTAGTAAAGAACAAAGATGCTGCCTCTCCCGTCAAACAAATCTGCTTTATCAGATAATTTGCAGCAATTACTCAAATTAATAATACAATGCATGGTTATTCAGAAGGGTTTCAAATACTAGTAATAGAAAAGTGATACGAACTAACCTCGACCTGGTCCCAACAGAGCTGCCAAAGCTACACCACCTTTGACATATGAGTTATGAAGAGCTTCCCATACAGGTCCTACAAACAATAGACCACCCGCAAAGCAAGTTAGCGTTGACCAACTCAAATTTGTTCGTCAGGTGTGAAACTCTGCGGCCAAAAGGGACATCAGGGAATAACAGAACTTTAAAAAAAAACATGCATAGCAAAATAAAATGGCATATGAGGGCAATGAGGAAATCAAGAACATCGTAATGCGCGAGTAAGACATTATTGGATTATCGTTGCTGGGAATGGGAAGTCTCCTTTAGAAGAGCGTATGCCAAAAATGGAATGTCACTGCTGGAGGAGGAGATATGGAATTCATTGTAGGGTTAGATTTGGAATTGGCTGTCTGAAGTATTTGGCGGAGCAGTAGATTTTCATTTTCAGTTAACAATATCAATTTACTGCCAACATGATCCTCCAAATCCACTGGGAGTGAGACTAAATTATTTTATAAACAGTTCATTTTTACCATGAGCAATGTGAATTCCTAAAGAATGTAAAATGTGCGAAGCATGAGATCCACAGCACAACGCCACCAAAGTCCAAGCAAGGGCAACACGGTTCCGACTCTTCGCCAGCAGTTCCTGCTTCTTCTTCGCTAAATCCTTCCATTTCCGAACATTTTCTGCCATTCCTGTACCCGACGCCCTGCGTTTTGTGGGAAAACCACATTCAGTCAGTCTACCAGCAAGGGCCTCGGCTACTATTTCAGGATAATCGTTCTCCAGAACTGAAGCCGGTGCTACGTCGAGTTTTTTCAACTTAACGGCGGCGGTCTCAGTCAACATGTTGACCACAACTGAGTCCACTCGCTCATCGGCAGACAAAATGTTTTTAACTCGTGAGACGCAAGCTCCACACATCATTCCAGTGACATCTAATAAAACGGGCGAATCCTTGCTCTTTTTCGGCGCTTGCAATGTTGTTTTGGTGGAGTCAATTCTAGTTTCAAGGGAGCTGAATAGGACAAATTTTGGACCTGTATGCGGCGGGAGAATGCTCCGGCGTCTGAAGCTGCGATGTCGCTCCACTGGCAGTCGAGAAATGAAGTCAACTCCGCGGACATCGCGGTTTCTTCTATCACTGACACAGATCCCAGGTTGAGGAGAGAAAGAGTGTCTAAGTAGATGAGCCGTCATGACCGGCGGCAGAAGAAAGGGGGAAGGAAAGAGATGAAGACGATCGTGAGAGCGCACCAGCGGACGCCGAGGATTTCATGAATTTCAGATTACCGGGAAAATAAGGTAGAGAAGAGACGTTATGCCATCAAAGTCAAACAATAAAAATGCGACACGCGTCCTGATTATTCATATTCCCGAAGGGTCCGTTACACGTGGACGTATGCGTATCCATAGATGTCTTTTTTCGGCGGCGAAAACAGCAAAGGCTGAACGACAACTCGTCACCCCACCCATTGGCGAAAACGGTGTCGTTTGGAAATGGGGTCGAGATTGCACAGCAGATATTTTGATTTTGTCTTCCACTTTCAAGCGTTATCTTCTTCTGCCACCATCCCATTGTTGATTGTTTTGCAACGTCGAGCATTTTCAGTCGAAGAACAATGGCTGTAAATGAAACGTCTACTGACAAAAATATGTGCTTAGAGGCTAAGATGGTGTCTGATTGCTTGAAACCCTCTTGGGTCACTGCTCAGACACCATTTGCGCTCCCATCTTTAAGAGTACCCACCTCCAAGTTCAACACTTTAGTTTCTCGAAGTCTCAACCTTCGGGAGCTTCGCAGGTCCATGAATTCGGCTGTTGATAAGTTTTTCAGAGTGCTTCACTTACTCGCTTGTGAAAACCCAATTGTGAAGAAAGTCCTTTCTCTGTCCTGTGAATTTCAGAGTTTCTGCGCCCAGGTGATATCATTTTCTTTCGCGATAAGTTTCTTGTATATTATTTCTTTGAATAATCTTATTTCATACGATCTGGTTTCTTTCATATTAACTGGCCTGGGTTGCATCTCATTGATCTTTTGTTCAGATTCGCCGCAGTAACTACAAGAAGATGAACCTGCTGTCTGGCCATAATTTCGCTGCTGTTTTACCTGGAGATTCAGTGGCAGGGCTAGTGGTCGCTAATGGAATCTTGAATTTTTTGAATATTTACAACACATTACTGATTGTCAGGCTTGTTCTGACGTGGTTTCCAAACTTTCCCCCTGCCATTGTTAGTCCACTCAGGTTAGCATTCTTTCCATCAATATTACTTATAACTTACGGATATTGTTGTGTCTGTGTGTACACATTACATTATACGACTATATTAATATTGATTGGCTATGGATTTATTCAGCACAATATGTGACCCGTATCTGAATATATTCCGAGGACTGATTCCCCCCCTTGGAGGAACACTGGATCTCTCACCCATACTGGCATTCTTGGTTCTAAATGCATTCACCAGTACTGCTGCTGCGCTTCCTGCTGAGCTTCCGGTTCAAGGACAAACCCAACATAGTTCTGTACCTCCATCACAGCTAACTGATCTCACCAGTACGCAGAAGAAATGGATGAGAAGGCTTCAAGGGATCAGGTCAAGGACCTCCGGTGGTGTCAATTAGAACATATTAGCTCTTAGCCACAGGTGCTTTCATCTGTTTAGTTTCTACTGTTCCTTACCAGTGATGATGCTTTCAGCCAGGCTGCACAATTTTTGAGCCTGCGATTGGTGAGATATCAAGAGTTACACCCGGCCATCGCTTCCTGGCTTCCGGCTGCCAAACGGCATATATGACTCTTGGCCTATATCAAAATTAAGATTTGTAATTGATTATTTCATTATGTTATTCAATCTAACTTTTGTCCTTGAGTCTGCATTACAAACGAGTGGAGTTATTCGATGCGTTTAATAGGTTTGAGATGCTTGCTGACAAAAAAAAAAACATCAAAATGAAGAGATTTCACGCGAATATGGTTGCCTGTCAATTGTTTGCATTTACTCAAGGACATCATAATCCATTAAGGGTTTTTTTTTTTTTTTAAAATTTACCTTCGCCTCACAGATTGACTAGTTTGTTCGTGTTTGAATAAGAGGAGTAAATCAACCTTCACATACTCATTTATCAAGTCGCGGAGTTATTTTTTTGGCTTAAAGTCCCCAGTATCCGGCACCTTTTTGGTAACTGACTAATCCGGGGTTTGCCCAGGACGAGCATGTCGCGTTTTGGATCCAGGACCTAAAGGTGTGGGAGTGTCTTGCTACCCACTCTCTAACCATCCGGCCACTGAAACGCAGACTGAGATCTCTGCACGAAAAACTCGCACGAAGCGTTAATTATTTGGACCTTCAATAGTTACAATGCTAGGCTATTTTAACACCGCTCGCATTCAAACGGCGTTTGATCATCAATTGATAGGGCCGGAGCGAGCTTCCACGGCAACAAGGGTATCGGATTCCAAATAAAAAAAATTTTCCACAGCCCCGAATATTGGCTTTGCTAATGGGGAATCTTATTCACATCCACACAATCCAACAGCTCCAACTTCATCAATAAGCTGCCACCTATAGTTTTTGTGATTCCAACATACCATTTCTGACTCCAGAAAAATATTCCATCCGATAGAGACCGGAATTTTCTGCCAAAAAACACGCTTCTATAACTCTCGCGTGCTTTACCTCTTCACATTATAACAAATAAATGATGCTAAGCAGACGGTGGAAACTTCAGCACAGGGATAATTTACACAGCACTGTGGCTTTTCTCCATAGTAGTCTGAAGTACGACTATTTTTATGTCATGGAAGCCTTTGATAAACGCGACTGATCGCAATTACCTCTTGTGAATGGAAGGAAAATCCCTGGCCCTGCATTAGCATTATTAACTTTTTGTGAAAGGTTATCCATTGAGGTCTGGCAACGTACGGCGTAGCAGTGATTGATGATTCTAAAAGTATAAATTGCAAAGCAAGATCCAGGATTCCGTTCACGCACAAGAGTGGCTTTTTCCGCGATAGTTTCACCATAAAAGTTGTAAATCTAAGAACAGAGTGAACCTAAAAAAGCTAGGTGCTTCGTCTGTGGTCTGAATGGAGGTTGGAAGTAGTAGCAGGAGAAGGTTTTCCTCGTACGAGAGGCTGGCACTCATAGGCATGGCGGTGCTAGCTGTGGCTTCTCCTCTCTACATAGACCGCAAAACCGCGAGTGAGTTGGAAGATGAAGAGGAATCTATCAACTTTGCTTTTTTATTGCCTCTCTTGCTTTTTCTATTGATTTTGGTCGTGGCTTCATCGGCTTGCTTGGACAGGAGTTTCACCAGGTTTGATCGTCACTGGATTCATCGGGTCGGTGGTTCTTCTGGAGGTATTGTCATGATTCTTATACTCCTTTTTCTGGTTTTGAAGTGTAAATCGTCTCAGTGAAGAGCTGGGAAACTCAAACTGTACTCCAAGATATCAAATGCTTTCAAGAACTCTTCCTCTGCTTTTGAGTGACAGAGCAAATGAGTTATCGTCTCAAATTGTCGAGTTCCAAAAAAAAAAAAAAAAAAAAACCCTTTTCATCCATAATTGTGATTTGCATTGAAGTTTTCTTGTGATATTTCAATTCGTATGATCGATACAAGTATAGATTAAAACCTCTATCCACACATATCAAAAACATTATAGAGGTGGGAATCAGATACTGACTTGCTGCCTCCATGTAATTTTTCCCCTTTATTCTTCCTATTTGCTTTTGTTTCAGAAACTACAGCGGTAAAATGAGCCGCAGGAACACCGGTGCATAATAAATCATTGAGAATTGAGATCTTAGGGTAACCTAGTCGTTAATCGTTAAATCGTAAATATCTACCCCTGACGAACATAGCCATGCCATTTGAGAAAAATATAGTGATTTCAAGTAGGTGGCATGAGAAAGTATAACAGCATACGATCATGAATGCAAGCGATAATTATAGAGCAACCAGTGTAAAAAATATTCGTAATTGAATCGCAATGGAGCAAAATAACTGTTATCCAGTACCAGCAAAAGATATATAGTGTGTCAAGAAGAAAGAAGAATGTAAAAGACTCTAGAAGCTCGTTCTTGATTTGCTGCGCTGTACAAAGTTCAACTTCGGATTATTTGCGATCGTTCAGATGTGAGAGAGAAAGATGATTAAGGATAGAATAAAACTAATGAAAGAGATAATTACATGAGCTGAATTGAAAATATGCCATGTTTGGGGCGATTATTCCGATCACCTTTTTTTTAAAACTTTTTAAAAAAGGGATACAGAGATCATTATTATTCATGCATGTTTGGTTTACTAGAATATCGCGTGAATCCCAACATGCATTATAATAATTTAAGCAGTTATAATATAAATGCAAGGTTTTTTGTCATCATATCAGCAGTCAGTACTAATGTGTCGAATATTTTCTGAGATTTTGTGACTTTTTTGCCATGCTGTACCTTTTCTTCTTCTCCTCCTCCTTAAATAAAGAGTGGGACGTCCATGCTTGGGCCTGAAAAGCCTTTGATGGACGTGTGGATGGGCTTGGAAAGTCATGGACTTAGAACTTGCTATTGCATTGCTTCTAAGTCAAACATGACCCTTGGCCCATCAAAGTGAATGAAGGAAGCAAATGATGCAACACAATTGGCATAGGCCTCTAAGCAAATGACAAAACGATACCAGAAAGAGGACAAATAGAAAAAGCTGATTGCTTAAGTCTGCCAAACATCACAAATTGGACTTCCACTAAAATCAGCAGCATCCAAATTGTTTCGGACATGCGATCGAAAACTAGAACCAAATACCAAAGCAACCAGAAGTGTAAAAGCAAATAGCCATATCCCACTAAGTTGATCCCAACGACGAGCACCACTACGCTCATCATTAGCCCCGCTAAAGCAGCCAGGTCTTGTTATCTCAGGCGCGCCACTCTCAAAAACAAAGGTGCTGTTAGGATTGCCATTGCGGAACAAAACACACCAAAAGTAAGGAGAACCTCCGTCAGTGCCCGTCACAGCTGCTCCCACCTGAATGTGATTCTTACTGTAAAGTATGTCTAAGTTCTTCTGGCTTCTTATGAGCATCTCAGAAATTGCATCGGCAGCTTGAACATGGTTAGTCTGGCAGCCTAGGAACCGACCAGTTATAAGAGCAAGTGTTGATGATCTCACACCACAGTCTGGGGCAAAAGTTTCAGCGAGGGCGGAATCTGGAGGCTTCTTGGCATCAGGTCCTCCCACAACATCACAATCACCCTCGTAATTAAGCTCTGATGTATTGTAGAGCTATGCAGCCTTGCCTGGGTTGTCATATAAAGTTGATAACATGTGAGCAGTTCTGTTCTCATCAACGATAGCTACCAGCTTGTCCGCAGGATTGTCCGTGACTTTTCCCGCAAAATTCCTTGTGTCATTGGAGTGAGTGAGATTTTAAGAAATAAATCCCATCATATGAAAATAAAAGCAAATGATGTCAAGCTTCAAGACAAATTTGGGGATTTCATTAAGCCCCGTGGCAGTCGAAGCTAAGAAAAGTTCAGGTGTAATATACATGGTGCTCAGCTTGCGATCTTCAATGAATAGGGACCCCATTCAGCTGTTGCAACTATGCGTCTGACATAAAGCACTTGCACAAGTAAATAATCAAACACAAATACAACGCTGATTCTGAGAGCTACCAAGCCTGGAAAATTATCCATCAAGGGAATAAAAATAAAGCATCGCTTCCATACTAGCATGAGGCTCATATGAACCTGAGACTCTTGGGAACTAGCTTTTGGAATGTAGTTTCCTCGAGCGTTCAGGTTATAATATACTATCAGAACCTCTATGATCTTTGTTGAAGGAATTACGGAGAGAGAAAATTTAGTCCCAAAATTCTTATGTATTGTTACTGAAACGCCAAGAATACACGTCCAAGCCCATACTTGGATTGGATATCGTGAAAAAAGTGGACGTGTCTAAAGCTCCGACATAGAACAGGCCCCAATCCAACCAATTCTTTCTCACCCGTCCCCATACTCCCGGAGGAAAAAAAATGGGGAAGAAAAGCTAGTGAATTTTAAACTTTGGTTTGTGGATCCATGTCAAGCCAAGGATCGTTATACATTCTCTAATTAGTTTAAGATTCGGAATGCTTTTCTTGCTTCTTCTTTTTTCCCAAGAGCAAGACATGCTCGTCAAGTTGGGTCGAATCTTGGAGCTGCGCAAACCCTTGAATACTCTCTATAAAACGTAAGTCACCTGATAGTGCGTAATAGATGGTTCTCTGAGAATAGCCAAGGCTATAATCAAAACAAGTCGGAATTAGAAGAAATATGCTCCTCTTTCCGCAGCGGAGAGTATTCACAGTCATCATTGAGATCCAACCATCAAACACCTTTCCATCGAATGCTGGCGTTTTCTTTGTGTCAAGAGAAAGGATGCAAAACAAGATTAAGGAGGCACATTTGGACGCAAGAGAAACACGGACATCCAAACAGAGAAACGTCTAAAATATGTGTTATGAAGATGAAATTAAAAATACTAAATAATAGTTGATTTTAGTGTAAAGTACAAGATTTATTTCTTGTATTTATTAATTTTTTTTAAATTACTCTTATAGATATTTTTTCAATTATAATCAAGTAAAAGAGGGAAGAAGGATATTAAGAAAGATGATTATGGTGTTTTAAAAAAAACATGTTATATTTTTTATAATTAACTAACTTAGTTAACTTTCTTATCGGAAGAGTAAATAGACTCCTAATCTGCAACTACACGGTTAGAAGAAACAAGAACGTGGTCTCAAAGTGAGTATGGAAGAACGAAATCAGACTGAAACCGACGAACGGAATTGCTGGTACGCCAGAGGAAACAAATTCGCTTGATAGCTTCTCTCCAAGTTTGTAACTGGAGATAGAAAACAAGAAAGCGTCCTTCAACTTTCAGACTGTCGGATCGATTCAATTAATAATGCGGAATTATGAAAAATTGATACTTTTCCTTTCACGAACTAATAAAAGTTGCCGCGAAAATGAGAAAGTTTAGTGTTTCAGTTAACATGACCAGAATTTTTTTTTTCGAAAAAAAAAACTTAACTAATAAAGAATTTTTTTCATTAAAAAACATAAACAGACAAAAGAATCTAAATCATAAATAATAACAGTTAATGAAATATGCTGTGGCGAAAAAATAAATGATTCATTACTTATCACTCAGACACTCACTTGTTAAAAAAAAAAAGTTTGTTGCTAAATATAATTCACCTATAAAGTAATTAATGAGCTTTCTTTTTTTAAATTTTACCCATGTTCACTTAATAAATGCAGGAAAAAAAATAGATGAGAGAAAATATAAAATACAGTTTTAATACCCTTTCTTAATGTAAAAAAAATTATTAATTTAATGTATTTCTTGATTTACGGATTTAAAATACAAGTGACTTATTATTAGTGACATGGTAGTATAACTTATAAGGTAATGGGATATTTACATTTCTCTTGTAAGTAAAATAAGTTTTTGCCATGGATAATTGAAAAAAAAAAGCTCAACCATTATTCCCTTAAATTATATGTTTTTATTATCATAATGTTTTCAATACATTGGAATTGTTTAAAAATTTTATTAACCAGAAGAACATGAAATATTTTTATGCATAAAAAGTATTAGTACATAGTATTTCAATTCAAATATTTTTAGCTAATAAAATTTTCAAACAAAGCTTTCATCAATTTTTTTGAGCACGGCTCTTAAATAACTTTTTCTAACTTAGATACTCGATTACGGGGTGTTTGGATAAAAATAAAACCATGGTTCCAGAAGTGTTTTTACGGTATATGAAGACCCGAACCATGATTTGGGAAAAAATCACCCAAACACCATAAAAAAAAAAATCAAAACCATGGTTTTGACAAAAGCAAAAATTTTTTACTTTTGGGAGAAAAAGGGAGAGTGTGAGAGCTTATGGGATATGTGCTTTGTTGTTTTTCTTTGCCCAGAAAAATATACCTTTTCCAATTATTCATCTCTTTCTTATTGTGTCAGACGCAGTACGAGGGACAGCCTGAGAGTAGATCTCAATAATAATATGACTTTAACACCCTCAATTATTTTTTTATAAACATATTTAATCTTATATCTTATAAATATATATACACATATTAATTATTTATTAATTATATTATCTTATGTATTATTAATTATGTTGATAAAAAATATATTATTAACAATTTTATTTTTTCAAATTAAAATATATCATAAAATCTATTTTTTATGTAATTATCATATTAACTTATGCCTTTTTTAATAATTTGCACATGTAAAAAGTGCTTCTGATAACAATTATCCAAACACTCTCACTTCTCAAAATCACTTTTTCACAAAATCTATTCTTCAGAAACTATTCTCCAAATCGTAGTTTGGTTTTATCCAAACACCCCCTAAATATGTGGAAGAATTTGTCTTGATTTGTAAAAAAATACTTATAAAAAGTGATTATAGGGTGTTCTAAACACTCCCTGTGATGAGGCACTGTTAATTTTTTTTGTTTTTGGCGACTGGACTGCTAATTTTTCATTACTGGCAGTATAAAGCGAACGATAGGGTAGTTCGGTAATTATGAAAACCAAATCTCACCATAAACAAACGAGCGGCTGAGATCCGCCAATTCGGACACACATTTGTGATTATATTTATCAACGAGTGACACCGCCGGGAAAGGATGTTGAGTCGGGATGGCCGGAGTGGGCAGTCCTGCGCATTTCAGCAACAAGCTCTTCAATTCCTCAACCTCTCTCCTTCCTCCAGTCTCACAGAATTTCACCTCGAAACCGAAGCAAGCTCTGCGCGTGAGGTGCGCACTGTCACCCACAAAATGGCGGGAGGGCCGCCGACCTGTCTCGATCTCTCTAGCTCTCTCCCACCTGCTTTTCATTCCTAACCGTATGCTTCTCTCGCTTCCACCTCATTTCTTTCTCACTCTTTGGTTCGAGAGAAATTGAACAACAAAGTGCATCTACTTATTCTCTTTACACTGTAGTATATTTGAAGTGAACTATATATCCTAATTGATCACATACCTCCGCTAACTCTTGCATAATATGTCTTCCATCTTGCAGAGGCTGCTTCAGGAAGCATTTTGGATAGATATGTGAAAAAGTATGACTGTGTTATGGATTTGTTTGTCTTTAATTGGTGTATATTTTTTAGGTGCTGTTACTGGTCAGTGAACGAGCTTAAAGTTGATGGAATAGTAGTTATTGTACAAAATCACTTCATCATTGATAAGCATTTATAGATAATTGCAATGACCTGCAGTTTGAACAAAATTTGCGTGGTATGGAATTAAAATGCAGTTGTTTCGGTGATTCTGCCTTGAGATGATGGCGTTTTCTCATCTACTTTTAACTATATTCAATGACGCTTCTCCTTTATGTTTGAGTATTTAAAATGAGAGAAAAGGTAAAAGACTTAAACAGATAATATCTAATGCAGAACCATGAACTGTTGATTTTGGAATGGGTTTTTCAGTAGGTATGGTTGACATGGATTTGAATTCACTTTCTGTTCACAAAAAGAATGTTGACTTATTTATAACTCGTTCATGTATACACTAGGAAAAGGCTCGATCCTTTGGAGGTTTATGTACCACCTATCATCCTTACGCAGCTACAGATCAAGGACTTGGGTATTGCCCTTTTTTCTCCTCCACTGGTTGCGTTACTAGTGGAAACTTATATGTAGTAGATTGGGAGGCCATTCTAAATATATAGATATGGCTACGTTGAAATGTTTTTACATCTCTTTAGAATAGTGACATCTGGTGATGCAATAATTAAAGCACAACTTTAACCCTATACTACTATTTATTGTATTTTTTCATTCATCATACTTTTTCTATACTAAGTAGGAACTATCTGTGTGCTATGCTAGATATATCTGCAACTTTTATGGATGGAAGATAATATAAAGTTTTCTTATAGTTATCTTCTCACTGCTACAGAGAAAACATTAGATGGTGCTGAGCCCCAATTTGCTGCCTGCCGATCGCTCCTTCGTGCAGGCCCTGCAGCATCTCTTCGTGTAAATATTAGAGCAGTACGTTATGACTTCCTTTGATCCTTGATTTACTCTTTACTCTCCCTTTTCTGGATACAAATCGTTGCTTCTATTTAATTTGAGAAAGAGTTTGCCTCCCAAATTATATCATGTCAGAAGTTAGCTTTTTTAGCCCTCAGTATGTTAGATGATGTCTGAAGCTCCTTACATCTATGATAAATATTTTATGCTTGTCAGTTCCTCGTAATTTTAAAATCCAGATGCCAAGATGGCAAGGGTTTTACTTGCATAAGGAAGCTATTTGCTCACACACCCAGGAATTGCTTTGGTATATAAAACTTTGGTCTTGATCCCTGAAGAAAAGTAACAAAAAAAATACCACTTTGGTTCTCAATAGAAGATCTAGCTTGTAGTTTAATTTGAACTACCAACTACATCTTAGGAGGTAGTATCTTATTAGCCTCCCCATATCAACTGTTTACGAGGAACATCTCTTTTTCTTTTACATCAGGCTAACTGACAGACCCTCGAATTGAAAATGAGTCAAGATACTCTTGAACAAGCCTTAACAACCAGCAATTTCATAGATGCACATCATTTGGATTACAGGTGGCACAATATGCATCTGATAGTGGCAATGGTAAAACTGCGTTCAGCGATGTAGATCAATGTCTAAGGTACTGTCCTCACTTCCCAACAAAACTTGTTCAACGGAATGCCGGTCACAATTAGCCATAGGGGCCGGGGCTATAGTTGGTCTACTGACTTATAATGATGTGAAACTCACAGCATTTTGTTTTTTATTTTTTTTCTGTGAAGTGCTCTGGAGGAACTTGATTCGTTACTTCTGCGCGCATCAAGAAATGAGCCCGAAGCCACAGTCAAGTCTATGAAAGCGAAAATCAGTGCAACTCTTAACGCTTTGGACAGGTAATTTGCCGTGATATATCTTGCACATATGAAATATTTTAGTTAGCATTGTCTTGTGCATGCATGAGAGAGCAAGGTAAAATTACTAATAGGAGATCTGTTACAGCCTTTTACAGACTGTACCTTCCGATGTGCTAAATAAGGGAGAAGTTATAGCTGATTCATACAGGAACATGGAAGATGAGGATACAGCAAGTTTGGACCCTGAATTAAAGCAATTAGAAGAGATCCTCTGAATTGCTAAAATACTGTCTTCTTTTTTTTTTTCCCGGCCAATTGCTAAAATACTTTATCAACGTTTGTAGTTTTAGCCAAGGTGATCAAATTAAAAAGAAGCTAGGCGGTGGCATAACATTAAGCATAATTTGAATAGACCCTCACGATTTTTCTTTTAACCTGTAAAATCGCACTGCAGTTTCTAGTAGCAGTGGTGATGAAAATTGAAAGCATTCGCAATTGTGGGATTGAAGACAGCTAAAGTCAGTCATCAATGCCCAATTGACCCTTATTTGATCTTATCTTTGGACAGAATGGTATAGACACATCTAATGACCTACGTTACTGTCTCTCTAGTCCTGTTTGTTTGGGGGCTGTTGTCCTGCGAAGTAAAACAGTCTGGGTCTTAATGCAAGGGTTTTTTTTTTTTTGTGGGGGGGGGGGCCAAAGCCCCTTTTTTTACAAACAAAAACAAAAACAAACTCTTTAATCCATCTCTGATTTTTGGGTGCCTGCAACCCGCCTCCATCCATTCCCTTCTGCATGTTCCATTAAGCCACCGTTTTATCATCCAGCAGTGGCTCGTAGTCCTGGAGCACTTAATATTGAAGCTTTATTCTGTTCCGATAGGAATACGGGGTGTTTGATTAAAACACTTTTAGAAAATACTTTCATACAAATCAAGATAAAATTTTGCCTGCTCGCTTACTTCGTAAACATGATTTACTTTTCACCCAAATATTGAATGTAACCTGGTCTTCATTTGCTTCAGCTGTTGATATCACCCAATCCATTTCATTCCTCCTGTTAAATGGAATGTACTGTATCATTTTTCGCGTGCATCGTTGCATTACTACCTTTTCTTTTTTCTCCTGACGTCATTTATTTTCTGTCCAACTCCCCAAGGTACCATCACCTATGACGCTTACCTTAAAACTTAAACAAGTAAACTACACTTCATTCCGCCAAATTTATATCATATTTAACTTCAGTCTAGAATAGAATTGGGAAGTTGGAAATAAATACAAACCCAAGAACTAATTACTAACTAATACTACTATCACAACTTACAGCAGAGACTATGCGCGTTGCTCTTGCCATACCCTATAGATGTTTATATCACTTCAAACTCAAACAAATAATTTACACAATAACAGTACAAAGTCAAATACCTAATGCTTAGAACAAACGGAAGAACTATTTAAACCGCTTTTGCTTTAGGATAAAAAAAAAAATGCAGCAACAAAATTTTAAATTTAATATATACAAACGAAACAGGCGTAACAGATACATGAACAAGACCAGAAATAAATATAACCGAGAATACAGATTATTTAAACAAAACACAAGACATACCCCTATATTCCTACATTCCAAACAACCACATTGACAGTGGAATTGTCGATCACTTGTATTATAATGCACCGAAGAAATAACCCGATTTATTACCAAATGTGCCATCACTCTCAGATAATGAACAGAATAAGCAATGGAAAATTTGTATATCGCTGGTACACGCAATCATTAACCTGACAAGCTGCGCAAAATTCGCTTCAAACTAGGACACACCACACGTAATCTTCCCACACTGGTCAAGCTTATCTGTGGACCACCACAAGCACACAGAAATTTAATAGGAAGGCTTAAACCAGATTGTCCAAGAACAACCTGCTCAATACTGAGTGAAAATAGGATAAAAATGATCATTCGCACCTTTGGACAAAAGCGGACATCAAGGGTCTCCAGCATGCTGCATCTTGATATCGCAGCCTCAACAGCTTCCTCATCAATGTTGCAAGACTAGAGCAAAAATTATACCCCCACCACCAAACATAAAAATAAATGAGTCAAAGTGACAAGACCAAAGAAACCAGACCCAATAACTTCTACGGACAAGCAGTCTCAAATAGCATAAGGATTAAAGTAACAATTTTAAACAGCAAAAATGAACCTAAAGGATGAATTACTAAACTAAACTGTAACTACTTGGCCAATTAATTATGACAATACCCTTCAAGGTCAACCCAAATTCATAAACACTTGTTTTATGAGCGGCAAGGGCCAAAGTGTCAACCCCACACATAGGAACAGCTTTTCACAAAAGTTTTGAAGGAGTCATTGCCAGTCATGTGAAGCACGACAGAAGACTGGCACTTAAAAGCTTAAACCACAGCAAATAGGCCATGCCATATACTCAAACATGGTCAAAATTTCTTCAAAACCATGCATTGATGACAGCTACTAACAATATGTCATGCAGATAAAGGAATCAAAGTATGCCTCAATATACAAGAAACTAAATAAAACAATAATAGCTGGTGTCAAGAAGCATCAAAACACCATGTTTACTCAATCTCAATATTACATTGGCAGGCAAGACATAAATACCTGAAGAAATAGGGTAGTTAGCCTCGGACACTCGAGCTTCAAAACTTCCAAAGAGGAACAATTGCTGGATAGAATACAAAAATTGTAACATTTAACACATTTGACATATGGATACAAACTAACCACAGATTATTAGAGCACCAACTATACCTTAAATTAAGAAAGCATAGGTTGAGACAGGTTAAATCGACCTCCTTTAAATTTGTCGATAAAGAAAGGTTCAAAGAAAGCAAATGCCAACAACGTGCTGTTGGCGGAATGAGAACTTTCCTAATATTTTGACATCCCACACAGTTGAGGTTCTGCAGTAAACGGTTGGGCGGATTGCAGAACCCATGGACATGCTCATTTGAAGTCATGCCAGATGAGATGTCTAAAGCAGGCAACTCAGTAGCTTGACCATGATTGATGCCCCAATTCAAATCATGCATATTCACACATCCATTTAAGCTCACATGTGTGAGCTGTGTACAGCAAGCAAGAAGCTCCTCTATGGCAGATTGACAGAGAGTTCCATAAGACAAGTCTAACTCCCGAAGTGCTGGTAAAGCACCCCTCTTGTAAAGAGGCTCAAGTGATGAATCGGTAAGATATTTGCATGCCTGTAACTTTAATACCTTAAAGAAACAAAAAGAAAAAAGCGCTGTTAGAAAGGAGGAAGAGAAGACACGCACAAACACAGGTGGCAACATTCCCTGATCGATGATTCAAGAGGGAAAAAGTGTCAGAAAAAGTAGCATATCATCCGTGACAAGCAAATACCACTACTCAGCTAGTTATTTCCAGTTTATAGCAATATTAGGCTACCATCTTAATTGCCTGAAACAATGACACAAAGTACTTCTCTACTAGACAACAAAGATTCTAGTTAATCAAATATACAAAGCTATTATTCTGCATAATAGTAGTATTAAGTAGGAGTATGAAAATAAAAGGTAATACTTGCCTGAAGTTTGGAGCAAGAATCAAAAACAGGCTGCAAATCCATCAAAAAAGTGTATGATAAATCAAGAAAAGTCAGGTTTTGAAGACAGTGCAGAGAACAAAGTCCATATGATCCAATTGATGGGCATGACATCAATATTAATGACTCGATCAGTGGGCATGAAGCAGTTGTTGCAGACAAGCAGTCATCTGTTAGTTGGCTGTACGAACAAACAAATGTCAGTTTATATAATGCAACAAAGAAACATAAGAAACTAATCAATGCTTCATAACCTGCAAAAGGAAGCATCCAAAGATGCCAGAAGTGGGCAGTTAATGGATGCTTCGGAGAGGACGCCACATCCTTTCAATTCAAGTGAGACCATGACAGGTGCTTCAATGCTAATTATGTTCAATTTGGGACAAATTCCCAAATTGAGACATCGAAGAGCTACCTGAAAAGCAAGAGTAAAACAGATAACCCTCAGCCTCCATCTAAAGGAAATCAGACAAACTGCTAGAACTAATTATAGGAAGCTAACAAACTCCAAAGCCCTGGCCCCATACACCAAAACTGCCAAAGTAATTTGATGAGGGGGCAAAATAAACACAAATCTTACCTTGATGACTATACTTCTGTTTGAGGATTGAACACAAAGGCAACAAAATAAGAGAACTTCACATTTAAACCACTATACAGTACCTATTTATACATTGGCTAAAATACACAAAGCTCCCCTAAATTTTAGGTCAGGTGCACGTTACCTCTCTAACCTTTAAAAGTTTAAATTAAAGACCTTGATGTTTTATATTTTGAGTATTACATGTCAAATGCCAAATATTATTTTTTTTAAATGAAATGGTATAGAATTAAAAATATATATTAAAAAAGGACATGACCAAAACCGTTGACTTTAACGCCAATTTTACTGGCAAGGGGGTTGATATTCAAAACATGAAACATCATGGTCCTTAATTTAAATTTTTAAATGTTAAGGAGGTAACGTGCAACTGACCCAAAGTTCATGGGATTTTTGTGTATTTTAGCCTTTATGCATTTATCATCTCCTTTGTACCGATGATCACAAAAAGGCATAAAGAACTTATTATTCTTATCATGCAATTGTAAAACAATTTAAAGAATGTAGTTGAAAAAATGCTTACAGGACAGAATGATGCTCTTTCCAAATGATCGCAACCATCTAAGCAAACTCTATCAAGCTTAGGGCATGTGAGCTCGAGAGTAGTAATTGCCCGACAACCAACAAGGGAAAGGCTGACTAAAGAGCTGCTGATGAACTGAACTGCTGTCAAGCTCTGAAGAAATTAGAACCCGACTTGAGCTAAAGAACAATTACAGTATGAAGGAACAAAAACAAATATGGCAGAATCAGGATTTCGTAGGCACATAATCTCAAACATAAAAGCTATATCTTAAAGCATCGGCTTTAACTTTCAAAGCGGATCCCAGAGCATAATTATGTCCAACTGATGCATAATAAACATGTAGAACGTGGTGAAAATACGTACTGTTAGTCTAGATTCATCAAAAGCAGATTTAGAAAATGGCCTTTAGGCAGGCAGAGAATACAGATTCAAGCACATACCTCACAATTATCAAGAATTAATGATTTCAACATAGGACATCCTCCGCCATCACCAAAAACATCACATATAGAATTTGTCAAAGATTCACAGTCAGAGAGGTCGACCTCTTGCAAAGATTGGCATTGTAGAGCCAATGAGGTTAAGCTATCCTGTTTTTTTAACGCTAATTTCTGCACCCAAACAGTCAATCTTTTAGACTGATGAAGTTTAATTCACAGAACACGGGAATACTATAACAGATTCAAAGACATACTTGAAGTGAATTTGAAGTGATATTCATCCGATGGAGCGCAGGACAATTAGAAACAACAATAGAAGACAGCATTGTAGTCCTCAAGTTCAAATCAGCAAATCTACCAAGTGAATGAGTGTCTAGTCAGCAAGCAATGGTAAAAATCAAGATGAAAACCATCATATTTTCCTAGGGATGAGAAAGAAATGAGGCCGAAGAATACTTGCGACAATGAACCAATCTAATACTCTGCAAGCGAGGAAGTTCCAAGAATATAGATGTCAATAGACTGCAATTATCAAGCTCCAAAACCTGCAAGGCAAGAATAGTTTAATCTCTTCGATTATGCATACTTAGTAAATCAGATATCTCAGTATCAAAGACAGTTTCAATACCTCCAACAAATGACAATAAGATATGGCAGCCATTGACGCTGAAGTAATTCCCTCACAGCTGTGAAGCTTGAGCACTGTCAACATTGGCAGTCTAACAGACTTCAATGAGAAACAAAGAAGCTCATCAATAAAGGCTAATAGAATCTATACTTTGCCAAAGAAAATTACAACCGCCAGAGCATACCTCCAGGGAGATATTTGGGCAGTATGATGCATCAAGATAACTAAGGTTAGCACAATTGACGGATATTTCCCGCAGTGTTTCATCACTAACACATGAACAATTTGACAAGTCCAGGGAGACTAATTGAGGACATGAAATTGCAGCTGCACGAATTGCAGCATCAGGAAGTTTGTGGCAAGAGCCCATGTCAAGCTCACGCAAAAGTGGGCAATTAAGCCCAGCCTGGGCCATATTACTGCGCTTCAACGACAATTTTTCAAGTTGCGGGCACCTAAGAAAATATGGCATTACTTATAACTGAAATAAAATAAATTAATTTTAATCTGAAATAACACTAAAACATTATTCGTGCATGGCATGATACAAGTACTTTATAATACCATTTTCTACACAAGGACTTCAATCAAACAAATACATAAAATTAAACAACCTAAGCATCATATGCACAAGCACTGCACGAAAATTGCATGGCTTCTACAAAGCTGCTGCTCAGTAGGTGCAACGACAAAAGCTATGATGGAAGAAAATTCAGAAAAATGTTTGATAAAAAAGGTAATAAAAGCCTCTGTGACATAGCAATTTGATTCCCAATAATATGCCATAAAAATTGCTACCAAACTTCTTTACCTGATTGATATGCGCATAACACGACATTTTACTAATAGAAGATGACGTAATCTATCATGATTAATGGCTATCTCCTGAATACCATTGCCAAGTGTAGCGTCATTGATGTTCAATCTTCTCAGCACAGAGCAATTGGCTAAAGTATGGAAAAAATTATCACCTATCTGTCCTCTTCCCAATGTTATAGCCTCAAGATTTCTGGCAACAATGATGAAAAATCAGCCAGACCTCTAGGCGTTTAATTGGCCACATAAATACCATTGTAACCCCACATACCTTAATGAAGATACAGCCTCCATAACAAGCCAGTGAATAGCAGGACCAGATATCTTTATTGACGTGGCATTAGGATAACGTGTACACATATTTGCAACTGTAAATACATATAGAGCTTAAATAAACATCTTCCTCAGTACAATCAAAACAAGTCTCTGCCACTGGCGCAGAGCATACTTAAAATATTCACTTCATAGTAGATTCTTCAAAAACTTGCCATAGCAGCATTTTTGATTTTGGTATACCGTAGCACTAACTAATTTTGTGAATGACAATTAGTAAAAATCTTCACTTACATTGGTCTACGGATATGTCCCGATCTTCAAAATCCAAACACCTCCAGAAATCTTCATGAGCACTAGCAGCTCTCCACTGCCTACAGACACTGGCAGCTTTGCAGAGATCACGGTGATCCAAGAAAGAGAAAACCTGATTACATGAATAGGGAACAGGAGTTTTAGAAATAAAACTAAACCACTAGAGGGGGAAAGGAATGAAATCATAAATTAGTACTTGATATTATTTGAAGCAGCTCCACCATATTTAAAAATAAACAAAGTGCACAACAGAGATAAAAAATTTCCCTGGAGCATACCATATGCAATAAATCTTCAGTAAAATCCATCTTGACTTCCAAGTCTTCTGCTATTGAGACATCACTGCCATCTGCCTCACTCTCTTTCATACAGCTAGAATCAGAGTTGCACTCCTCAGCAGCACCCATCAACATAAAAGCATTGTAACCCGTGTCATGATGAGATTGAACAGATGAACATTGGATACTATCCTGGCCCATGGATGCGCTGGATTTCCTCATTTTTGAAGACGCTGGCGTTGCATAACGAAGCTGACTGGAAAACACATTTACTCATAACTAGAGAATATATAATGATGTGCTGAAGTTTGCCCGTTAAACATCAGCAAATGATTTGCAGAAATTTTCTAATGTCATACCCAAATGCTACAAGTAGAATCAGGAACTAGCATTTCAAGTGTCAGATAATTTATCTCTTTCAAAGAATGATATGGTGAAGGGCTAAACAACGGCGTATACTAGATCAAGACAACCACTTATGTCCCTCTTCCCGATAAGTATTATATACAATAGTGAAGTCAAAGCAACATACAAAATAGAGAAGTGGCATGCAACAGAACACTGAGAACAAAACAACAAAAGCATCCGTAAATTTCAGTTTAATCCCAAAGAGAAGCCATTTCACAAGAGTAAAAAGAAAGAAATAAAAAAAAATTAATGAGAAAAACTACCTTCATGAAATTTCTATAGTCCTCTTCCATCATTTATAACAACTACCTTCGTGAAATTTCTATAGTCCCCTTCCATCATTTGTAACACATCAAACAACTGATGCCAACACGCAAAACAAACTTCACTTTCACATACAATTACTCGCAAACTCCCAGATACCAGTAGTACTAATTGTTTTCTGGGGCGCCACCTTTTTTAAAGAGTGAAAATCTGTTGAAGCTGACGTGAAGGATATGGTTTCTCTATATCATGCGTTAGAAATAAGACGATATGGCCAAGCCAAGTACCCCCAATCAAGGCGATGAACGACGGACCCTTTTTTCAGTTATTTGTACAGGCACAACTAAATCTTCTTTACACGAGAGAAATTGATCGGAGAGAAAAAAAAATAACCAGAAATTTCCTAGTGCCTGGGAGTAAGTACGCCCTTGATTCATGACAATAAACATTTTATGGGCCTGAGCCACTTTAGGCATATAGCACATATAATTCAAGTACCACATTTAGTCAATATCGAATTATCGGAACAATTTCAAGCTTGCAACTAGTGTTTCCACACTAAAATGATTTTTAAATTCAAGAAAAAAGCCCAACAACTATGATTTAAAGGACGGTCAATTCGGAGTGGAAATGACAGGTGAGAGTAATGTTGTTGAAAGCCATGCGAATTTTCAGAAAGGAAAATCAAAGCACGGTTGACTGGGCGTCTGAAACTCACTCGAAATCGGAGAGAACTTTAGCGCGCTTACGCGGAGAATCGAGACCATCATCATCGGCACTACCCGAGCCAGCTGATACAACAGCATAGGCCGAACTACTCTCACCGTCGGACCACCGCGATGTTCGAGGCTGCGAATTGAACCAAGTGTGAGCCCCATCCATACTCAAAGCCCTACCCATCGCGTTAGACCACGCGAAATGGTCTTCGCCTTCACGCCTATTTACAGCCAGACTCAGGGTCGTATCAGTGCCAACCAAAGGGTCATCGTCATTCTCGATATTGTCATCAAGCAAGCGGTCCTTTTCGAAAAAGTTTATCTCTCTCATAGAGTTGGAACAATTGTCTTCCTCTCTTGCCTCCTCCTCGTCCTCTTCGCTGAAGCATAGACAGCACCAAATCCTCATGCACTTGGTGTATGAATCTACAAACTTACGAACCGTAGGTCACGATCCCACGCATTTGTGACGAAAATTCAGCGGATGAGGCCGATTCAAGTGAAACCCTAACGTCGAGAGAAGAGGAGGCCGGTATCAAAAGCTCAGGTCACAGAAAAACCTGATCGAATTTTGTGAATGTAGGAATGGCAGGAGAGAGGGAACGATAAGAGATTGAATGGATCTGATCGGATCTCGGAAGCTGCTTTCTTGGGATGGATCGTTGGTTGCTCAGTATCTCCCTGGGTAGTGGAGGGATGAAAAAGGAACAGATGAAATAGGAAACAGAAAAAGGAACGGTATGGGGGGGAGCGAAACGACGACGTTTAAGCAGAATCAGCGAGTTCATAGTGAAGCTTGCTTGGTTGGTGTCTCCATCTTGGTGTGGACGCCAGGTGGAAGCAGCCAGCAGGAAGGGAGCATGATGTCTTCCAAATTGAAGACCATTCTTGTTAATGAAAAGTCCGGTGGCATCCTCAGCCGTTCGTGTCTGAGTTGGAGTCTCGGACTCTCCCATATACGTCACCAGACATCAATTACGCTACCAACCTTGTTCATAAATGTCATTATTTATCTCTAATAATAATACTAAAATATAATAATATAAATTATTAACCTTAGTCATTTTTTGTAATTTCATGGTGTACCGTTGTAATCCTTCGGTATCGGTTTTTCCCAGCAGTTCTGATGCGTCGTTTTTCCTAGAAAGTACAAGCATGTATGTAATAACACGAAAACATGTAGCTGATGTAAGGAGATGATAACAAATCAAAATACAAATAATTCAAAGTGAATACAAACAGATTAAATAATTACTAGTATTTATTACAACCACCTAGCATGTGGACTGGCTCGACAGAAGATGTGTCAGTGCGTAAAAATCTAATCTAGGCTTGGCAGTTGGCACGCATTGTTTTATGAATATCAGGATCATTCCGCCACCTCACGCGTGGAATTGAGGAGCCTCTTCCCATTTATAATTGAAATGATATGGCAGTGAGTTAAAGTTAAAACTAAAAATGAATTTCAATAAAATGAAAAAATAAAATAAAATTCTTGTTTGTGTCTGATTTGATGAAAACGAGAGCAGAACAAAATAGGTTATGTTTGTTATTACAATTGAAATCATTTATAAACATATTTTATATAAACAAGATAAAAATCTTCTCACATATTTACCTCGTATTCCGTAAATTATTATTTAAAAGCTATTTATAAGTTATTCTAAATGAATCTATAAAAAATTGATCAAACAACTATAAACTTTTGGCGTGAAATTCTTTCGTGCTTATTTTCTTTCTAATTAATCAACATCATCTTATACATGCGCGGCTGAGAAAACAAATTTATACAGGCAATTGATAGTAATAGAAATGAGTTTGCAATAATATCTTTTTTGTTTCTATACGAGAGAGCAAAGTAGTACTAATCCATTTTTCCATTCTCCCGGACAAAGTATCGTTCTATTCAAAGAGGGAAAAAATCTCCATTTCCAAATTTATAAGCACAACATAAGAGATGCACTCCACCTACTCAACAAGATAATCTTAATTATAGAAATTAAATAACTGACTTTTAAAAATTAAAAAATTAGTTAATTTAGTTATTTAAGAATCAAAAATAAAACGATAATTCTCGTTCCTCTTATTTTTTGATTTGGAAGAAGCCAAAGTAGACATAAAACTCATCACAAGTAACAATATAATGCTTGCTTAAGGTGCTTTCTTGTGACGGATTTGTCAAAAGTTATTCACAAGAAACTGCTCTATTTCATCATTATTATAAAGATTTGTTAAAAACTTAAGAAAATGCATTAAAAATTTAATTAAAGTTAGTTGGCGAGTTTACAATGTTAAAATGAAAAATATTCTCGGTGGAATTTTTTATTAAAATAATGTGATTATTAGTTAGTTGGAAGATTGTATGGTCAGTTAATATTAAAGCTTTTTTTTCTCACCTCAATAAAATATCTAATGTTAGAAATTACCACCACTATGAAAAATGGCAGGGCCAAATCAAGGCCCGGGGGGGTAGATTACAAAGGAAGCGAGGTTTCATCCGTAAAGGCAAGCATGTATTAACAGGTGGATTAATTAAATGATTGTGCTGCCAAACCGCCGAAACAATGCCAGGGTTAAAGGCTTCCTCGTCAGGCGACATGTGGGCCCCAGCAGTAACCAGACTCATAACGATCCTCGTCAACCTCAGTGCCAGAATTTCAGTGAATCCATGTTTAGAGATTCATGTTCAAGCTATGATAACTGATAAGGGTGAAAGGCACCGATTAAGCATGCATGCTGCTTGGTGTGAAATGAATCACTATGCAAACTTTTTCATATTAAAGACCGTAACTTGCTTTTTAAGGACCATCATCAAACTTCAGCCCAGCGACGTGATACAGCTTGCTCTGTTTTACGCAGACAGGGGAGCCAACGTCTCATGTCATTCCAAAACATAATTAATTAAGCAGAACCTGCACACTCAATCAAGATAACGCACCATCATGAACCACACCCTGCTCCAAAAAGCCACCAGAAGGTCTTTTTTAGTTTTTTCTAACACACCACATATTTTTTTCGGGTCATTCTTCTTCACAGCCCTGCTCAAAAAGCCTCACGGTTTGTGCAGCTGGAAGTTTTCAATCATCCAGGTTTGTGTCTCTGCAAGGCCATGTCCTTGATATTTGTTGGACCAAGTTTTGTGCTTGATCCAGTTCTTAACTGACCTGTCATCAAGCCCAATGGACTGTGGGCCCTTTTCCAGCCACAATAGCCGCTACATTGAAAAAGATGAAGACGACGCATCATATATTATATACAAATGCAGAGGGGATCACAGTATGATTTCTTGCTCATATTTAGCCATCCTGCTGCACAAATAGCTACCATCATTGTTTACGAAATTCAAGGGTTACTCCGTAGCTCAGATATTTCTTACTTGAATTCTGTCCTTAATTTGCCAAATTGCTTCAAGAATCTCAATAACTGAGAATTAAAGAATCAGTAGATGTGTTCCCCGGAAACCGAAACCAGAAACACAGTTATGGACCTGCTATTTATTTACACTGATTTTTAATGCAATTGTTTATGCTTAAACTGGAAGGATCTGGTTATTATTGATTTTAAAATATTTACAGCCGGCCATGTTGTTCAGGATGACACATGAGTGAAATGGATTCCTCTTCAAAGTAAAGAGGTTATGAAAGGACGTGTTAGACCTTAGGGTCAACATGTATGAACAAGAAAATTAGGCACACCCTTCCACGACACGGATATCAAAGGACGTAGACAATACTTTTGCATGAGACTCGTCTCGTAAATGCTCCCTCATTACAAGAAATCATGGCGGTGCTTCTTACAAGAAATCATGATCTTATTATTGCCTCATAAAGTTGATTAGGCAAACCCCAAAAGTATTTCTCTACTTTTAATAACACGCAATTCTGTTCTTTTAATAAGGGGGGAAAAAATAGTAAGATATACATGAAAGAGGCGAAAGACACCAAAACAAAAGATAACAAGAGGGACCAAAGCAGAGGATAGCTAAAGTGGAAGATGAAGAAATCGAGTAGATTTGCTTGATCTTGGATTCGATAAAATATAAGTAAACAGGCAGAGCCCGAGGTATTTGAAGAAACCTAATCTCTGGGCTAAAAAAGCGAAAGCTTTTCTAGAGTTCTTAGCTTGTTTTCATCGATTAGATTTGATGTGTTTCTACATGCAAAAAGCTTTTTTGAAAAAGGAGGTGGGAAGTGGGGGCAATGGAGAATCCGATACCGAACACCAAGCAAATCCAAATGGGTTCGCTTTTTAATCTTTCAAGCTTTAGTCAAGTTTAAAAAGAAACCCGAGAAAGAAAAAAAGCAGGAAGATGGGATAATTAAGTGATGAACCTTGACGCCGAAGAGGGGATAGGTAAGGACAAAATGATCTGGAACTGAAACATCAAAGCCAGTTAAGATTGTCTCGGATAAGACACGTAGAGATGTAGTGGGGTGGTCCGAATGGATGATTGGCATATATGTAGGGTGTGAAGGATTGAAATCTCGAGGGACAGATGGAAAAAGACTTGCACTATATATAACCAGTTAATTAATTCTGCCTGATAGGATGAAAGTGACGCCAACCACTTAAGCTTCACAGATGTGTCATTCATCCCGAAGCATTCTACTCTGAACTGGCATAGCCTCTGGCCACAGTTTGTTAAATCATTGACCGCGCACCTTAAAATGACCAATATTCGATATTCTTCATTTTGCCCATAATAATATTCCTTTACAACATATCGGCGCAACATTTTATGACTATTTGGCGCGGTTGGAGAGGGTGTGGGGGGGCCCGGGGGGGGAATCTAAATGAAAACCCAAAAAAAAAAAACTACAATTGGATGAGAACGAGGTCTTCTGTGGCGGATGATGATGACTAAGGTTGGAGGTTTCTGGAGAATATTTTCTGTCCAGGTGCAAGGATAAACAAGGGATCAAAACTGGTCTTTCTGCTCACGAATCTGGTCCATTGATTCCCAAAATGTCGCTTCCAATCCTCCTGACACTTGTAGTGAGGAAGGTACGGCTTGAAATCAAACCCTCTGCTGCTGCAGAACTGAATGATCTCCTGGTTTTGCGCTACCAGCAACTCCGGCGCTGGTCCCCTTGGGGGCGGCGGGTTAAATCGGAGCAGCGCCACAATGTAGAAGATGTCACTCTCCGGCAACGCCACCGACGTTCGAGGATCCCACCTGAATTATTCAAACATCATATAAGAACATAATTTTTTTAGTTTTGACCCAACAAAGCAATCCAATTTGTACAGGTGATTAATTCTGAAACAGGATAACTGCACGAGGTCTGTTTCAAGGCGCGTGATTTAAAGCAGGGTGATGAGGAAGGGGTCCCAACAGGAACCGAATTCGAAGCCAAAGAGAAAAGCAGAGGGGGGATTTGGTCCCATCACATGAGAAAGAAAATTATATAATTTCAACATGCCATACCAGACAAACGCTGCTGTCCCTGCAACGGGGTTGGCGAATAAAATAAACATCCTTGTCCATTCTCAAATGGCAACACTGACCATGAAAGCTACCTTACTGGGAGCGGAAATCTCAACACCTACCGATTCATCATATTCATTTACTCTCTCGCCTCATGTCCCTACAATGATGGCAAAACAACCCTGCCCCATATTCAATATCCAGCTAACCTGGTTAATATTAGTTAAGCAGCCTGTCACTGGCACAATCAACTAATTAATCATCAATTAAACACGGATTTACACCCATCCCGGCCCCACTGTATCTTTGTCCCAATCCAAATCCAAATCCAAATCCAAATCCAAAGGCACGCGTTCTATGCTTGCATGATACGCCAAGTCGCCCGAGGCTGCCACCAACTGCCAAAGCCTAAGCTGATGCAATGGGCAAGATCTTTGCCGTCATACTGTACGGCCCATCGCAGACTAGGCAGGTACACTCCTCTCAGAGTCATGAAACAGCCCCATGCCACGCGGTCCCACTTGGCCACCCTTAATAGTAGAAAAATATTTGACCCCCCCCTCAAAATCTTAACCACCCCGTTCAATTTGGCTCCCTGTGTTGGACCGGAAGGGCTCGGGTCGGTTGATTTCTATTCTTGAGCTCAGGGGTCACAGCGACATCCCTCTTACGTGGCATCAACGGACACCGTTGCTGTCACTGACCTCGTCATCTCCTCGCCAAGCTCATGCATATCCGCCTTACACGTGGCAGCCATGCAAGGGTCAGGGACTCCTACCAATTAATGCATTTAAACCCCAGGCCCCCCCCCCAAAAAAACAAAAAAAGAAGTGCATGGGAGGCACCCTCTGGGGTCTGGGCACACGCTAGAAGACGGACTACTCATCAAAAAAGAAAAGAAAAAAGATTTCCTGTTTAATAAATCCTACCAATAGGTAAATGAAGAAGAAGAGGGAAAAAAACGTGATTAATTAAAGGAATGAAGGAGGAGTGCTTACTTGCTTCGTAAGAGAGGGTAGACCAAGATGGGCCCGCCTACTCCTTCACTGAGGATGCCCTTGAACACCACATGATCAAAATCAATGATGTTGTGGCTGGAGACGAAGAGGTTGAGCCAGGGGTGAGGGGCGTCCCAGATGCCGTTGGCTTTGGCATCTTCCTCCACACGCTTTACACGTAGCAAGAACTGGGTGTAGCCCACGTCCACCTGGAACTTGAAAGCCCGGAGGAATCGCAACCGTCGAAGCAATCTATCCACATCCTGCGGGGGGATTGGAGCAAGAATGAGAGGGATTGACATAAATGGGGGTATAAGCGTCATTGGAGGAAATCGAGGGACGTGTCATACAGTTCACATTTTACAGATTCCAGAAAATGATGGCATTTTGGCAATTTGCATAACTGTGGGGACCGTAACGTCAGCGAGATCTCAATGATCAGCGCAATGGAGCACCCACTGATGTTTAATCACCCTATTTATTTAACCACAAGGCCGTGCTCTATATTACGAAAGTGACCCCTCCTGGACAAAACAGGCTAGGCACAACCCCACCGAGTGCTAATCCCAGCGCCCAATTGCCCACCGGGCGTTCGTAATTTGAACCCTTTCATCAAAGCCTCGTGTGTCAGAAAATCCAATGGAAGATACATCATGACCGTATAGTCAGTTTTCAACAACCATTTCTAACCGGAGGCCCAGGCATGCCAAAAATATTGTAATTGTAATTTGTAAGTAGCATCAAAGAAGGAAAAATTAAAATATTTTTTTTGGGAAAAAAAACAAAGAAAAAGCACAAAAGCTGTGCCATCATGGTGGACGAGAATAAAAACCATCCTGTGTGGCTCCACCTTGTACACGTGTAAGTGAAGTGTTTTGACTTTTTACCAGAGGTCCCGCCCGCTCAATGCTCTCCTCGGTTAAGTCTTTGTGCGAAGGGAGCGAGGGACACACCTTGCCACGGCGCAGGTCAAAACGCAGTCATGATTGGGCAAGCCGGCGGACACCCCCCCCCCCAAAAAAAAAAAGCCCCTGGACCCCGCCCCTCCAGCAAACAACAAGGAAAGTCAAAACTCTCTCTCAGTTGCGAGCGGCTACTATACTAGAGCCTGTTCTGCCGCAATTGCGACCGCATACACCAAATCGCAAACAGGCAAAGAGATTTTTTTTTTTTTTTTAAAGGGGGAGACTGAATTAGTTACCGCATCGACGTCCGAAGGGTGGTCTGAGTTACGATAGTGAAGGGCGAGCTCGAGGCAGTAAAGGACGGGGCCGGCGGTGGGAGGGATGTGGTTCGGGTCGAACTCTTGGTCCGGATCCAATGGTACTATGGGCCACCCATTGACAGGGTCGTCGCTGTTCACAAAAACGAACCCTTCCACGTAATCGAAACAGTCATCTTCTTTACGAGTTACCAGCGACTCCGCATCCCTGGTGAAGTCTTCAAACTCAGAGTAAACTACCCTTATCCATCTCACCTAATCACATGAGAAATAAAGAAAATGTTTTAAGGAAAAAACGTGATTACGTTCCCTAAACGTGTCGTTCATGCAGAAGCTCTCCACAATTTTCTGGTAAATCAAACAACGAGTGAGAAATGCAGAGAGACTCCAACTTCATTTTCCTAACAGTTCAGAGATGGAAATAAAAAATTCAGTGAATTTCATAGGAGCCCACCATATCCGGTGCTTGTTGAAGCACGACCCTGGCCCTGGTGATGATGCCGAACTGACCCAGACCACCCAACGCCGCGAAGAAAAGCTCCGAATTTTCGGTTTCGGAGCAGACCAACGTATCGCCTTTGCCAGTTACAACCTCCAATTCTGTTACGTTCGAAGTTTGAGGACCGTAACGGAAGGTCTGACCGCTGACCCCAGCATTAGAAAGCGTTCCTCCAACCGTTAAACCCAGATAATCCGTCCACGACCTTGGGGCTAGCCCACGCTCCCCTACGCACCGTTTCAGGACGTCTTCCCATAATGCCCCTGCCGGGACGTCGACGTAGGCTGAGCCATCAATCCACACCACGTGGAAATTCTCCTCCATGCTGCGCATGTCTAGGACGATGCCTTGATCGGCCAAAGCCTGGCCGTTAATCGAGTGGCCGTTGCCTCGAGCAGCAAGCGTCAGATTCGACGACCGAGCCGCTGCTTTGAGGACCCGAGCTATGTCGTCGGCGGTGGCGGGCCTAATGAGGGCCAAGGGCTTCACGGACTGCAAGCCTCCGAAATCTTTACTGGCCATGGCGTTGGGTGCGCAGTCGATGGTGCCTTGGAGGTCAAGCGCCTCGGAGAAGTCGACGAAGTCATCGTCGGGCCTTGATTCTTTGTCAGTTCCGTGAACGAAGTGCTCCAGGTAAGCTATCATCTTGAAGCGCAAAGTTAGGTGGTGGCGGTGGTGGGGAGCCAATTACGGGCGGCCGGCGACCGGTGAGAGTGAGGATGGCTCTCTTAAAACCGAAGCCGTCGTCGTTTTGGGGAATGTTATTATGCAAACTCGAGGGGTCCTGCCAGGTGAAGATTGTCCTTAAATAGCGGCTGATTTGGATTTATCGGGCATTTTTTAAATGAAGGGAATTAAATGAATTATTTGGAGATTCAACAAAAAGAAAATTACGTTAAGATCCCACTCAGAGAATTTAAATACAAAAAAATCTCTTAAAATTATTAAATTAATTTGAAGTCCTAAAAGACTTTATTGCAAGAGATTTCATTTATTTAGTTATCAAAATGCTCTCTTCTTCTTCTTCATATGATTTGCCTTCACCCATTACTATTCTTTTCACTCTTATCACTCGACCCTAAAATATACTCCCACTAAAATCGCAATCCCTTCAAAATCTTTAAAATTGTATGCTTGTTTACAATCAAGTTCCTATTGGAAACCTGAATTGCAGGTTTGATCATTTTTTCTGATTCACATTCCTCTTTCCGTTTCTTTCTTGTTGAGTTTGAATCTCTTAATTAGATTCATGCCCCGCTGCAATTAAATTCATGCAAAGCTTTCATCTCAATTCTCATTTGCCTCTTGATTTTATTTCTCATCCACGTTATATCTTGTACTTGTTCTCTTGCGCATTCATCATCTTCCCTATCATAACCAGATCTGACTATGCTCATTGCTATCCTGTATTTAGGTATTTCGTAGATGTGTCGCTCTGTTTTTGGGTAGAAAAACAAATATGACATAAGTTGTTGCAGTTAGAAACTCCTTGATTCGGGTTGTTAATACCTGCTGTGATAGTTGTTAATTTTTACACCTTAATTTGTCATGACTGCTCTCTCCATCGTCACCATACTGCCAAAAAATCAGCTACAAACTTTTTGTATAATCTAATTTCAATTACATATTCTGATCACAAATGATTTCAAGATAAATATGCTTATATTGTACATATTGGTTAAAATTTCATATAATACAAGAAGTAGGGTGAATGTTTATCAAATAAATATCAAATAAGGAGTATGTCAATAAGTACAAGCTTAACCTACTTAAATAGTTATAGGATCATGAATTGCCACTGTGTTTCTGAGTATTTTGTGAATGGATGGATTTGTTATGGGGAATGAATGAATATGATGAAGGTCGTTGAGGTCAGAAATAATTGTGATGCGTTTAGAAAATATGTTATTGATGCCCACTGTAATAATTGGTAATTATTGTATCGTAAGTTGTCAGTGGCGGCCCCCTTTGATGTTAACACATACTGTTAAAAAAAACTTGATATAAACCTATCATATAATCTCATTTCAGTTTACATATTTTGATAACGCATGATTTTAGGTTAAATATGGTTATATGATACATTTTAATGATAGTTTTATATAATCTCATATAATATTTTGATACAAAGAGAGTTATTATTTTTATTTTTAGTATAGTATTATATGCTATCCTTTTAAGATATGGTTAGTGCATGAATATATAAGAATATGTTAAAGTTGCCTTGCGTAAGAATTATTTGTCAGAGTAGGGAAAATCATTTTCTATGTTTGTTTGGTATTAGAAAGTATGTACATAATTAATAATGGCACTCTAACTTATCATTTGCTGATAGATTGATCAAATATATGGAATTGCAAGTAGATTGTCTATGTCTCCACTTTGAAACTCAGGAGCATGGCAAAATTTCTCTAGACTGTAGAGTATGGGGGTCACTTCTGTTTAATAATGCAACTTACTCCTCAACTTCCAAGTAACTTCACATGAGTGAAGGAAAATATGAGTACTCTATGATGTGGGAAGAGCAATTTACTCAGCAGGAACTTTACCAATTGAGTCGAGACAAAGATTAACAACTACTAATAATAAGACTCTGACATGAAAAGATTATGAGAATTGAAGGGATGGAGACTTTGACAGTTCGACAGTTGTAATAGTTCATCATGATGCAAACCAAGCTTTAATATTTCAAGAACATGCAAGAAGTGTACATAGAGTGCAAATAGACCGCAGAGCTATAAATCCATTATGTGAAATTGGTATAATTATATACAAGATGCATACAAGGCTATAAATCTATTTTATAGATAATCTGATAGATAAATTATAGATCTTGATATAAAGTGATTTGTCATTGTAAGCACCATCACTTTTCAATATAAGCACCCTCACTTGTCACTATAATACAAGGTTATATATCATTTACTTGTAAAATTGATGCAATTGCGTAGTGCATGTGAACCTATATAGCTATTTTGGATATAATTTAATAAAAAGTTACATATTTGGTTATATAGTGAGTTGTCATTTTTTATACCATCACTTGTCATGTATTGTACTCTTGTCAATGCTTGCACCTTAATTTGTCATTTCTCTCGTCATTTTTGTATTGTTAAAAATTTCATATAAACTTTTAAATTATGATACAATCTGACATAATCTAATAAAAATTTATATACTTTGATATAATCTCTTTTGGATATAATTTGATATAAAGTTTGAGTAATATATTCTAATATAAAGTGAATTGTCATTTTTTATGCCCTCACTTGTCATTTCTTAAACTTTCACTTGTTAATCAGTGTACTTTGGCTTGTCATTTTCCTGCTGCTAATAATATCATATAAAGATTTGTTATATCTTATGTTATAATATGATATACAATTTCATTGTAAACACCCTGAATCTCATCACAATCACGCAGCTTCGCTTGAAAATTTTATTTCCTTTCATAATGATAACAATAGAAGCAATGCACATTTGCTTAACAAATAAGGTAATTCGTAATTAAAAAAAAAGGGTATTTCCTAGTCACATAAAGGTCATTTTTAATTACAATAAAATCCACAAACGACTAGAGCATCTCCCCCCCTTTTTTAGCCACAGCTCAACTAATTTATCAGAACTAATTTATGCTCAGCAACAATCTACATCTTTTTTACCTATGTGAAAGCAAAGGAGCCACTAAATCAATAGATATCATGAGTAAATGAACAAAAAATTACTTGAATACATATGAAATTATCACTAAAATGTATCATATAAGCATATTTAACTTGAAATCATATATGACCAGAACATATAATTGAATGAGAGTATATTATAAGTTGACATCAGCTTTTTTTAGCAGCATGAATTGACAATTGAAAAAGTCATCATTAACAACTTCTAATGCAATAACTAATAATTATCGTGGTAAGTATTAACAACATATTTTTTTAACGCATCACAAGTGTTTCTAACCTCAACAACTTTTATCATATTCATTCATTCCCCCATAACAAATCAACTCATTCACAAAATACTCACAAACATAGTAGTAATTCATGACCTTACAACTATTTGAGTATATTAAGCTCATACTAGTTGATATACTCCGGACTTTATATTTATTTGATAAATATTCATCATACTTTTTAGATTATATAAAATTTTAACTAAAATGTATAATATAAGTATATTTAACTTGAAATCATGTGTTATCAGAATATATAAATTGAAATGAGATTATATCATAAGTCTATATCAGAAGTATGCATTGACAATAATAGAGGGAGCAGTCATTAACAATTTAATGCACAAAAATAATAACTATCATGGCAGGTCTTAGCACACGTATCAAGGAGTTTCTAACACAACAACCTTCATTATTTCGTTCTCCTTACCCAAAAATAGAACAACCCATCTACAAAATACCTAGAAACAAAGTAGCAATGAGTGTAATCAAATTTGGGTGTGATAGGAGAAAAATGAATGATGACCAGAGAACAAGCACAAGATATGGCATAGAGGAGAAATAAAATCAAGAGGCCAAAGAGATGAAAGATTTGCATGAATCTAATTAAGAGATTCCAACTCAAGAGGAAAGAAAAGAAAAGAGGACTTTGAATAAGAAAAAATGATGATCAAACCCGCGACTTGATTGTGAACAAACATACTATTTTAAAGATTTTGAAGGGATTGCAGTTTCAATGAGAATAGATTTAAGGATTGAGTGATAATAGTAGAACGAATGGTAATGGTGTGGTAAAGGCAAATCATATGAAGAAGAGAGGACAGTTTGGTAATTGAACAATAAAATCTCTTGTATAAAGTCTTTTGGGATTTTAGATTAATTTCAAGGAACTTTTTGGCTTTTAAATTTGTCAAGTGGGACTTTAATGCAATTTTTCCTCAACAAAATAATGACGTCATTACTTGGTTGAGGCTGTGATTCTTTCGACATCATCTGTCTGCCACTTATACGAATTTTTGGAATATATAATTTGGGAGCAGTGCTTCTGTAAATGCTACCCCCATGCTGCTACAGTGAGCTCCCCGTTTCTCTCCTTCCCCCCCCCCCCATGTTCCATGTATCGACCCTACACGGAAGTACATAACAGGGGATGGCTCATTTCCCATATGCCAGCTAGTGAAAATCAAGGTACTGAAAACTGGACCGGCAATTGAACGGTCAAGACAATGGGTCAAGGGTCAGTGGGTCAGACCGGAGTCAAACCGGGGGTCAAACCGGTGAGAAATAAAAAATAAAAAATAATTTAAATGTTCACTAAGAATTAGATATCAATTTAATATCTTGAATTACTAGTAAAATAATTACATTCTTACAATTTCTTATAATATCATACTACTAAAATCACTAAATATTCATCCTAACAAAATATCAAAATGGATATATGATAATAAAATATTTCTCCTTATAATTACTCAATCACTAAGTCCTAATTATCAACAGCTTTTTAAAAAAATCATCAAAATATATTTTTTTTTTTTAAAAAAAGGGAGACCGGGTTGATCCACCAAACCGGCGGGTCACCCCGGTTCAGTCCGAGTCACCCCGGTTCAAACCGGGTCACACCGGGTCGCACAGTAACCCGGTTCACAGCTGAACCGGACCGGTTCCCTGGCCGGTTCACCGGTTTCCGGTCTGAACCGGCCGGTCCGGTCCGGTTTTCAATACAATGGTGAAAATCATCTTGGACAAACATTATCCCCCAACTATTTATGTTGGCAGCTAAGGTTAGCGGCATTAAAACAAATACTCTCCCCCATATTATTTGTACTAATA